CCAAAATCAGAGTGCATGTGTGGTCAAAGGGTAAATTCACAGCTCTTGGTTACTGAAAGTCTTTTTCTCTCTTTCTGCCATTTTCATGAAATCTCCCATGGGTATAATTCTCTGCTGGGGCTCTGGGGGTCTGTATCCACATAGAGTCCTAAAAACTGCCTTTCCTCCGTGGGTCTGGTATGTTCTAGGTGGGTTTTGCAGCTTCCAATGTTGCTCTGGAGGGGGGTAAGAGGCAGTGGGGAGAATTCTCTCTGAGGAGTTCTTTACTGCCAGATTTGACTACCACTTACCTGACCGCCTCTGAACTAGCTTGCTGTTTTTAGACATAGCCCCCATGAGGCATGACTGATTCTCTGCAGCCAATCTCAAGAGATTTCCTCCCTGGCTTCCTTTAAGTCCCAGCTAAGATCCCGTCTTTTATTGGAAGCCTTCTCTGATCCCTCTAAAGTCTAGCTGTTGTTTACTCATTTCAGCCCCGTCTGACCCTTTGTGACCTCATTTGAGGTTTTCTTAGCAAAGATATAGGAGTGGTTTGCCATTTCCTTCTCCAGCTTATTTGACAGGTGAAGAAACTGAGGCAAACTGGGTTAAGTGACTCTCCCAGGGTCACATGGCTAGGAAGTGTCTGAACTCAGGTCTTTCTGACTTCAGGCCCAGTACTCTATCCACTGCATCACATAGCTGCCCACTAAATTCTAGTGCCTTCCCTCCATTACTTTTTTCCTAGTTATCCTGTATATACCTTACTTTGTGTATATTTGTTTGCGTGTTGTCTCCTCCATTAGACTGTAAGCTCCTTGAGGGCAGGGACTGTCTTTTGCCTCTCATTGTAGCACCAGCTTAGCATAGTGCCTGGCACATAGTAGGCACTTAATAAATGTTGATTGATTGATTGATTGGCTTCCCCCGATTTCATCCGTGACCCCAAAGCCCCTCACTCCACTTTGTGTCTGCTGCTCTGTCTGGCTTCTAGTGCATGGAACAAAACGGCCCCCTCCTTGAGTGTGTCCTGGTGTCCTGTCCCCAGCTCCTACCTGCTTCCCTCTGTGTGTTGTCTCTCCCTTTAGATTTTGAGCTCCTTGAGGGCAGGTTCTGTCTTCCTTTGTATTCATTGTATCCCTAGTGCTTAGCACAATGCCTGGCACATAGCCTGTAGGCACTTAGTAAATGTTTATTGGATTTATTAGATTGGACTGGGGACCCGGTCACACCTGGCTTACTTTTTTATTGATTGATTCAGTGGAGAACTCTGAGTCTTTTGTGATAAATCAGGGTTGGAGTGGGGTGGACTCCACCTTTATATAAATATTATTTCAATAAGCAACAGAGCCTGGCAAAGACTGGTTTCCCACCTTCCAAATCTCACCTGATCAGCCTTGGCAGCTAGACTCAATGACTTCCTACCGAGAAGACTGGTGAAGTCTGGCAAAGTCTATGGCAAGGTCCAATAACTCATCCCTAAATCTGACCTTAGTAGCTAAGCAGATAGAACTCTGCGATATTAGGTGCAGGCCTAGCGCCCCCCAGGTCTAACCTAACCAGGTCTAAAAAATGAGGCCTGGGAAGCCTGCCCCAGGCTCTGAGTCCCATGTTTTCCTGACTCCCCTCAGCCTCTAAGGTCTTCAGGACATTTGTAAACTAGCAGCACGGCTCTGGGACTCCAGCAGAGGCAAGGTTCTCACTTCTTAGGAGTGGACTGGAGGGGAGAAGAGAAGCAGAAGGGGGAGGGGGGATTGCATTCCAGGCCTTCTCTCTTTGGCCCTCCACGTCATTTCCCCAGCGCCCAAGCCACAGGTTCCTCCTTTTTTTTTCTCCTGGAAGGTGCCCCCACCCAACAGATAAGCTCACAAACATTACAGGACTGACTCTGGGTTCCTGAGGGGGTCAAGGATCGGGGCTTGGAGACTGAAGAACTCCCACCACCCCATTTCCTATCCCTCCTCAGGCATAGACAAAGCTGGCCCCCCTTCCCAGCCCCGGCCCCCATCACCACACCTTTCTGCTGGTTACTCCCACAGACTCCACAGAAGACCACCACAGAGCCCCTCTATCTAGGACCGCCTTTTGTGTCTCTTTTGTCTCTTCTTTCTCTGTTCGCGTTTTGCATCTGTCTCTGACTCCGTCTCTTCCTCTGTCTGTCCTTCCCAGTCCCAGCATATTGCTGCTGCTGCTGGGGTGGGAGGAAGCAGGAACAGGGTCAGTAAATTGAGAATGTCACAATTAGGCCTTTACGCTCCAAACTTGACCAATTCCATCAGTAGCTTACTGAAGGCCTGTGGGCTGGGGGTCTGATGCCTGGTCCTTGATGGGTTGGGAACTTGGGGGGACCTGATGCCTGGGTCCCCCTGTGTCATGACTCTCCCTTCCCCCCTTCTCCCCGCCTCCTACTTCCTCTCTGCTCAGACTCTCTACCACACCCTGCCTGGCCTTTCAGACCCCAGTCTCCAGGTTCCCTTGGCTCAGCCATGGGGAAAGGCAGAGCTCCCACCCTCAGCCTGGCCCTAATCCTGGCCCTGTTCCTGACCCCAGGGGGTGAGTCAGGATTGCTTTGGGCCCTGAACAGGAAAATCTTCTCCCTAACCTCTGGACCTAGAGCTTGGGAAGATCCACGATGGGGAGGAGGCATCTGGTGGGAAGAGTTGGGGGGGGCTCTCTGTGTATTCTGGGGAGGTTCAAAGGCCTAGGATTCCAGACCTCCCAATACCCAGTGTTAAAGCTCTTTAGCGTCTAAGCTAAGCTCTTTAGGGTCTAGGAGGTTGGGACAGAAAGGGATAGTTTGAGGGGACTGAGGAGAGGAGGCGTTGAAATATTTTCCTCATGACCTTAGTGGCCCCGGGTAGGTAAGGGAGAAGGTTGGGATGGGTCAGATTAAACAGCTAAAATCTCCTGCTATGCTTTGTCTTTAGCTAAGATTTGACCCCTCTGGGGCTGGGAATCTGGGCTCCCTGGGCTAGGGCAGTTCAACCCCCAGGCATTGAAAGTTTATTTTTTCTGCCCTCCCCCTATCAGATTTCAACCCAGTCTGGGCTCAGAATGGTAGGAGTTTTGGACCCCCTGCCTTGCTTGCTTCTCAGACCTTCTGCTGAGGACTCCAGACCCTTTCTTTGTTGACTCTTTAAGATCTCTCCCCTGCTAACTGCCCCCAGTCCTTCCCACTGACCCCCAGACCCTCCTGTTGACTCCCTAGCACACTTTCCAAGACTTACCTTTGACCCCTAGGACCCTTCACCTTTCCAGACAGTCTACTCTTGCCATCCCTTGAAAAATCCTTCAGCCCCTCTCCCAGCCCCTCCCAGTGGCCTCCTCAGACTGTTCCCACTGGCCCTATCCTATCTCTTCACCGATTCCAGGATTCCTGTGTCTTCTTTAGAATCTAGTCCCTGCACAACTGTGGGCCCAGGGGTCCTGGCTGGGATTGTGCTTGGAGATCTCGTTCTGACCATCCTCATCGCCCTGGCTGTTTACTATCTGGGCCGTCTTGTGCCTTCAGGTCGGAATGCCCCAGAGGGTGAGGGATTGAATTGGGGGACTGGTGACTAACCAGTGTGACAGGGAAGGAGTGACTTATAGATGGGACTGATTAGAAGAGTGACCAATGAGGACTGGACAGATGGAATGGGGCAACTCTGGTGTTGGAACTGACCAGGGAAGCGGACGGCCTTGACTGGGGAGAGACCGGTGACTGGGGAAGTGAATGGTGGATGTGGAGGAGCTGGGTGACTGGGCCCAGTGTCCAGAGGCCCGAAGGTCTCATACAGCTCTTCCTTCATTCCTTCTCCACACACCCAGCTTCCAAGAAACAGAGAATGACGGAGACAGAGTCCCCCTATCAGGTAAGAGGAATCCCCTTATCCCCCAGTTCCTCCCTGAACCTCCCCCGGTGCCTCATATCTAAGTTTTGCTAAAACTCTTCCTTTTGAGCCAGAAACCAAAGGTCGGTCCAGTCACAAATGAGCCATCTCCAAGCCAGGCCGAGGGCAGGTTTTAATTCAGGAAGAATCAGATGAAGGAAACACTTTGACTAAGGAAGGCAATTTGATAGCAGAGTATAGTGGCTCCCAAGCCAACTCAATTCCACCCAGACGGAAGGATGGGAACCCGGGGGGAGGGCTCAGTGGACTGGATGTGGGAAGCTGGGGGGGCAGGAGAAGCAGTGCTAAGGCATTCTGGTTCTCTGATGGGATCCCCGAGACCTCCCTTACCCAGGTCTGAGGAGAGCTGGCCCTCTGAGTCCATGCTGCCAAGCCCTGGACATCTTAACCCTTGCGACAGAGCCAAGAATCTTCACGATTGGGAAGAGGAGGGGGGCTGGGGTACTAGCTCCCCCAGGGTCCCCTAGGTACGTTTCCCCAACAACTCCCCTTTGACAAAGTTGGCCTGATCCCCATCCAGGAGCTCCAGGGCCAAAGATCAGACGTCTACAGTGACCTCACTCCCCAACAAGGATTCTACCGATGAATGGTGACTCAATGCTGAAGATGGCCAGTGGGGAGCTCACAGCATCTGATCCAAGAATCCCAGACCCACTAACCCCTTACTACTCCCTTCTCTTGACCCTTCTCTGATTCTAGGGACCCCGCCTCTTGTCATTCTTCTCACAATAAACATGGAGCAGAGACCTTATTTGTGCTGAACTTTTGGGTTCCAGGAGGTAGGGGGCAGGGAGGAGGGGAGAGGCTAGATTGTGAAGGTGCCAGGGTCCCAAGGAACTGGGTTGTGGGGATGTCTGGTTCCTGAAGGTGATCAGAGACTGGGAAGGTCTACCTTTTAGGGCCTGGGAACCAGGGATCCTTGATCCTGCAAGGTTTGAAAACTGGGTACACCAGATCCTTGCTTACGAGATTGTGGAAACCATAAGATCTTAGATTATTAAATTACGGATATAACTGAGCTCCTGGAGAGTGACTTATGGGGACATTTGGGTTCTCGGGATGCCTGGCTTCCAGACTGAACTCTGAGCAATATCTGGATTTCTAGTGAAAGACTCAATGTCCCGGAAATAAGAATTAATTCCTTTATTTCCAAAGTGAAGGAAGACTCTCCAATGTAGGTGGTCCAAGGGGCGGGTTATCTTTGGTTGGATGGGGATGCCAGGATCCTCTGAAGGGGATAGGGGCATCTGTCCACAAGGTAGGGGGTGCCATGGGGCTCAGCCTCTCCCAGGCATGTTCATGTAGACCCTGTTATTCTCTGGGGAGAAAAGACAACATCAGAGTGAGCCCAGGGACCCATCTCCACCCCTCTCTCCACTGGGAGACCCTTCCCACCCACTCTCCCTCCTCTCACAGAGATGCAGGCCCTCCATCCTTCCTCAGCCTCTTACCTGGTTTTCGGGAGGCCCCCCGGGGCCGAGCACAGGCAAACACGGCGCCCACGATGAGCAGAGTCATCAGTGCATCAGCTGCTACGAGCCCCACGAGGAGGGGCAGGGGCAGGGGCAGGGGCAGGGACAGGGGTCCACAGTTAGGGTCCTGGACTGGGGGGTAAGCTGAGGCAGAGGCACAGTCAGGGACAGAGAGGAAGGGAGACTGAGAGAACTGGAGATACCAGAAAGCTGGGAGGGCACCCCCACCCCAGGGTTGGAGAGATGGGGAGAGAGGGGCCCCGGGGCTGCCTGGGTCTCTCCTCACCTGGAGGTGTCTGGGCTGCAGTCACTTTGAGAAACATGGGAGAGAGCATCAGTGGGGCAGGTCAGGGACTCAGGAACCCAGACACAAACAGAGATAAGGAGAATTTTAGATCCTGACTCAAAAGGGACCTTAGAGTTCAGCTATTCCAACCTCTTCATTTGACCCATGAAAAAGACTGAGGCTTAAAGAGTTTAAAAGACTTGGCCAAGGTCACACAGTGTCAGCTGGAATCTGAACCCAGCCCTTCCTGCCTTTGAGCTGTTGTTCATTCGTTCAGTTGTGTCTGACTCTTCCTGACCCCCTAGACCGCAGCATGCCAGGTACTTCTATCCTCCACTACCTCCCAAGTCTGTCTAAGCTCAGGTTCATTGCTTCCATGACACTCTCTGTCCGTCCATCTCATCCCCTTCTCCTTTACCTTCACTTTTTCCCAGCATCAGGGTCTTCTCTTCATGGAGCCAAAGGATTTCAGCTTCAGCTTCAGTATTTGGCCTTCTAGAACACCATGTAGGTACCACCTTGAACCCCAACCTTTTACAAAGGAAGAATCTAGAGGCCTGGGACTGCAAGGTCAGCAATCCTTCTACTGCCCCATGAATTCCAGGATCTGACAACGGGAGGGACCTGAGCAGCTATCAGGCTGCATGTCTTAGAAAAGAGAGAGGAAGGACCCAGGGGGAGAGAGATGGAGAGAGAGGAAAGAGAGGAGAGACGGAGGCAAGGAGAGAGAGAGAAGAGGGAGAGAGAGGAGGGACCCAGAGAGAGAAAGGATTGAGAGAGAGGAGAGAACCCAGGAGAGAGACAAGGAAGAGGAAGAAAAGATCCAGAGGGGGTGGGGAGAGAGAAAGAGAGAGAGAGAAGGGACCCAGAGGGGTGGGGGGAGAGAGAGAGAGGGAGAGAGAGAGGGGGAGAGAGAGAAAGAGAGAGAGAGAGAGAGAGAGAGAGAGAGAGGAGGGACCCAGACGGGTGGGGAGAGAGAGAGAAAGAATTGAGAGAGGAGATAACCCAGGAGAGATAAAAGGGAGAGAAAGAAGAGACCCAATGGGGTGGGGAGAGAGAGAGAGAAGAGGGGAGAGGGATAGAGGGGGTGAGGGAGAGGGTGAGAGGGAGGGAGACAAACCAAGAAACACAGAGAGGAGTGTACAATCGCATTAAGTTCCTATGCTGTATGCATAGGGATATGAAAGTACTGACTTACAGCCTGCTCTCAAAGAGCTTACAGTCTACCAGGGTTGGGGGTGAGGGAGAAGAAATGTATACAAACACAGACGATAGAGAAGAGAACGACCCAGAGGCCCAGGGAAGGCCAAATAGAAAGTGCTGAGAGGTTCACAGGGAGCCAGGCCACATGATGGTTAGAATGATCAACATGGAGTCAGGAAGACCTGGGTTCCAGTCCTCAGACACTTACTAGCTGTGTGACCCTGGGCAAGTCACTTCTGTCTCAGCTTCCTTATCTGTAAAATGGAGCTAATAATAGCCCCTACTTCCCAGGGCGATTGTGAGGATAATGTTTGTGAATTGCTTCGTAAGCCTTAGAGCACTCTTAATGTTAGCCATTACCTAGCAGAGCTAGAAGGAATGTCTGAGTCCAAAGTCTTCATTTCCCCATGAGGAAATGTATGCCCAGAGAGGTTAAGCGATTTATTTCAGCTCTGCAGCTAATAAGTGGCTGAGGCAGCATTTTAACCTCCACTTTTTCCAGTCCACCTCTATGGATTTCATCCCTTGAGGCAATGATCATATTGGGGGGTGGGTAGGGAGGCAGAGAGAAGTGTCAACTGTTTAAGCTGGGATTCAAAGAACTGGCAGGAATTCAAAGGGCATCCGAGGGCTGGGAAGTGGTGGGATTCAACACGTGTGCCAGAGCCTGGGAGTTGCCTGGTTTGGCTGGACTGTAGCATGTGTGAGGCTTGGGACCAGACTATGGGAAGCCTTGAATGCCAGCTTCAAACATCAGTCCTTAGGGAGCTAGTAAAGACTTTTGATCAGAAGATCAATTCATCAGACAAGTTATTCAGGCAGTAGCATATGGCACTGATCGGAGAAAGGGAATATGGGAGAAAGAAAGACCTGTCCAGAGCTTACTGAGATAGTTCAGGGGAAATAAGGAAGAAGGCAGAGATGATGAAGGTGGAATAGACTGCATCACAGGATCATAAATTGAGGATGAAAGGGGGCCTTGGAAGTCAATCCTCTCGTTTTAAAAATGAAGAAACAGGCTCAACAAGGAGAGTTGCCTTGCCTCTGGTCACACAGTATGTGGGACATATGAACTCTGAATTCAAAGCCAGTGATCTTTTCAGTGTCCCCCCACCCCACTGTCTCTCCAAGACTGGGTAATTGATTGAATAAGACATGAACAAGTGGGAAAAAAATCAAAGGATCCAAACATGGGGCAGGGTAAGTATGATGCTGCTATAGACAAAACGAAGTCAGAAGACACGGGTTTGGGCAGGCTGATGGGGGGGCAGGTAGGCAAAGGACCAAAGCTTGGTATTTGAAACATCATTAATAGAGAGAAAGGGCAGCTAAGTGGCAACGTAGTTATAGCACCAGGCATGGAGTCAGGAAGACCTGAGTTCAAATTCTGCCTCAGACACTTACCAGCTGTGTGACCCTGGGCAAGTCATTTAACTCTGTTTGCCTCAGTTTCCTCATCTGTGAAATGAGCTGGAAAAGGAAATTGCAAACCACTCCTGTATCTTTGCCAAGAAAACTCCAAATTGGGTCATGAAGAGTTGGACGCAACTGAAAAATGACTGAACAACCACAACAATAGAGAGAAGGGGGAAGGAGAGAGAGAAAGAGAGAAAGGAGAGGGTCAGAAGAAGGGAGAGAGATGGAAGTGGTGGTGAGAGAGAAGGGGCCAGAGAGAGAGATTCAACGAAGAGAAAAAGAGAAAGAGGCAGAGTGAGAGACATTAAGAAGAGTGATGAGAAAGAGACAGAGACCCAGGGAAGGAGAATCACAGAGACATTACCGCCATCCCAGAGAGGGAGGGCAAGGGCCCTCAGCCCCAGCCCCAGCCCCAGCCCAACCCCAGGCTTCACCTTGGCTTGAGTTGGAAGGCAAGGGGAAGGGGACCACTGACCTGTTAGCAAGATCAAGAGCAGGTGGGGTACCTGGGGACTCATGCTAATGGGTTGAGATCAGAGTTAGGATCTTGGGGCTCTGGGATCCCAGAAGAGAAGACAGGAGCAACGGGTGTGGCAGTTAGGAAAGAAGATGGCATAGGCCAGCAGACCAGCTTCCTGCCCCCAGCAAAGTGGGGGCGGAAGGTCTAGGGGAGGAAAAGGGCGGGGAAATAAAGGGGGACAAGAAGCTCAGGAGGCCCCCTGGGCCACAGGAGGGCGCCTGGGAGCCAGCTTGGAGGTTCAGAAGCCTGTGTCCCATAGGGAGGCTGTAATAACTGGGAGCGAGGACTCAGGTGTCCCAGAAAGAAAGGCGCTGGGAAACAGGACACACATTGGATCTCACAGGGAAGGGTGGGAGACAAGATGCCTAGGTCCCCAGAAAGGCTTCAAGGAAGGGTGCCTAGCTCTCCTAAGGAAAGGAGGCTGAGAGATAGGATGCTTGTCTCCACAGGGCTGGAGTTCAGGGTGCTTGGAGCCCCAGTGATAGATAAATTGACTTGTAAGTAGTTGTCACCCCCATGGAATGGGAGAAGTAGAAGAAGAGTGTTGTCAACGACCCTTTCTTGGAGACATCAACTACTTCAAGGGAAACAGAGGCCAGGAGCAATAGTGAGGGCAGAGGCAGACTTAGAAATATCCAAACTAAGCCCAAAGGTGGATAAAATTGTGCATGCCCTTTGACCTAGCAATAGCCCTACTAGATCTGTATCCCAAAGAGATTTTTAAAAAAAGGAAAAGGACCTATCTGTACAAAAGTATTTCTAGCAGCTCTTTTTGTAAGGGTAAAGAACTGGAAATTGAGGGGATACCCATCAGTAGGGGAATGGCTAAACAAGTTGTGGTATATGATTTTGGTGGAATACCACTGTGCTATAAGAAATGGCAACTGGCTGGTTTCAGAGAAACATAGCAAGACTCTTAGGGACTGATACAAAGTGAAGTGAGAAGAACCCAGAGATCATTGGGCACAGGAACAGCAATGTTGTAATGAGGATCAGCTGTTCAAGACTTGCTACTCTGATCAATACAATGACCCAAGACAATTCCAAAGGATTCATGATGAAAAAAATGCTGTGCATCTCTAGAGAGAACTGCTGAACCCTGGGCACATTTGAAATATAATTTTCTCGCCTTTTTTTTTTTTTGCAACATGGCTAATGTGGAAATATGGTTTGCATGATTTCACATGTATAATTGATATCATTTGCTGGCCTTCTCAGTCGGTGGGGGAGGGGTGGGAGGGAGGGAGAGAACTTGGAAGTCAAAATTGAAAAAGAAAAGAATGTTAAAAATAAATGACATTGAAGATATAATTGGGAAATTTTTTTTTTAAAATAAGTTAAAATACAATAGAACTATCCAAAAAGGGGAGTGCTGGAAAGGCGGACTTGTATCTTTGTCTCCCAGCCCCTAGCCTGGCACACAGCGGACTCTACATGTGTTCATTGAATGGGGAAGTGCAACGGTGGGCCTGGAGAGGGGTAGCAAACCCCCCCCGACCCAGACAGCTTCCAGAAAAGGCCCGACGATCATTCGTCTGAATGTCAGTCACGGAGGGGATTCTAGCAAGGTCAGGTATAGGCGGCAGTGTGGATGCCTCCGAAACCCCTTCGTGCTGTCTTTCGGTGATTCTGTAACCCCCGGAGCCGCCCCCAGGGCGGGGCGAAGGCGGGACTGGGCCAGGATTTAAAGCGCCCGCGCGGGTCAGATCGAGAATCTGGGAACAGCTCCGGCTCCCCGGACAGAGAAGAGGCTGGCGCAGCGCCGAGGCAGGGGTGGCCCGGGGGCCCCGCCACCCGCGCCCCGGAATTCTAAAGGTAACCTCAGGGCCTGGATGCTTGGGTCTGTGACAGGGCTGGGGAGTGGGGAGCAGGGATGGGAACCACATATCTGGTATCCGAGGGGAGTAAAGAATGGGATGTCAGAGGCCCGAGTATGTTGCCTTCGGATCCGAGGAGTGGAGCGGGGAGGGGGGCGAAGAGGGGAGAAGAAGATCTGGCTGCTGGGGGCCTCTGAGCCCTTGTGGAATAATCACATCAACAAGCATTTTGGCCAGAGATCTGGACTCTCGAATCTAGGACAGTTAGACGAAGATTGAGCTGAAGGTTAGGGATTCCTGCGTCCCAACGGGCATAGCTGAGCTGAGAGAGGGGCGACTGTTTTTTGAGATTCTAAACTGGAGAAAGGGGAAGGGAGCTGGAATCCTGAGCCCTGGAGAGATAGAGCAGGAGGTGGGGAAAGGGTTGCGTGACTCCTGAATCCTGGAGTGTCGGAGCTGTGGGGTTTGGGACTCCTGGGTCCTGGAAAGTAAGGAATGAGAAACTAGACCATAGGAGAGGAGGATCAGTGCCGGCCAGATCTACATTCCTGGGTCCCGACGGGTCAGAGCTGAGAGGCATGGGACTCCTGGGTTCTGAAAGGTCAGGGATGGAAGGTATTAGAACTCCCGGGTACTGGAGTCAGCCAGGGGCCAGGAGAGGGGCATTCCTGGATCTGGGACAGTCAGAGTTGACTGAGGCAGGAGGGACTCCTGAATCTCAGAGGGTCAGAATTGGAGGGGTTCAGACTCCTGGATTCCCTGGGTCCCAGTACAGGGCGTGCCAGTGACCCCTTAGCCCTGGGAGTTCCCCCGCCCTCCTCGAGGGACCTGGGGCCGAACAGGGATTCCCCTTACGCGGGGATTCCGTGGTCATTATGCTTGGCTGCCCTCCTCCTCTCCCCCCCCCGCCCTTTGGGCTGGACACCTGGGTCCCGGGGAGGGCGGGTGGCAGATGGAAGATTCCCCTGCGCAGGGGTGACGATAGCGTGACGTCATCGCGTTCTTTCCGGACTCCTTTCCGAAACTTCCCGCCTCCACTTTCTCAGCCTGACCCCAGGGAGCTGGAGGGGAGTGAGGGTTGGGGCACCTGTATCTTTCGGCATTGGGGGAAGAACTGAGTTCCCGGCTTCTTGGATCCTCTAAAGGGCAGGGGGCTGGAATACCTGAGCACCCGAGGGACAGGGACTGGACTCCTGGTTCATAGATTCTCAGAACTGAAAGGGCGCTTAGAGATCATCCAGTCCCACCCTCTTAATTTGAGAAGCCCAGACCTAGAACGCGGGAATCCTGACCTCCTGCTCACCTCCGGCCCTAAGCTCTTTTTTGGCAGTCCTAGAGGCGGGGACTGTTTCATCTTGGTCTCGACATCTTCCGTACCAAGTGCTGTGCCATAATACTAATAAATGCTTGTGGAATTGACCCGAATTGAGTGGCAGCTTCCCCTGAGAGACAGGAGGGATTGAGAGGTTCTCTCGGGGGTAGAGGCTACTCAGAGTCCAAGAGCTTCAGTCCTTGAGTTGGGGATGGGGGGGGTGTTGAGGCTGAGGGAAGAGGGGCCTCTAGGTGCGCAGAAACAAGAGATCATGGTCCCCGAGGAGGCTAGAAGGGATTGATGCTTGGGTGCCACAGAAATCAAGGGTTGGGGGACCCGAGCTTGGATCTCAGAGAACGGACGACTAGAGGGGGCGGCGGGACGCGAGCAGAAGCCAGGGTCCGCCGGGGCGGAATGTGGGTGGGACAGATGGCCGGATCCCCGGGGGAGAGACGTTCAGGGGCACTGGATAAGGTTGGGCCGCCTCCCTGGTTTCCGAGACGTGGGGAGAGGGAGTGGGGTCGGGAGGAAACTTTGGCGGGGGGGATAAGGTGGGGGGGGGGAGAGCCCCCACGTGGGAAACACTGCCTGTTTTCTCCTGAGAGGTCTGGGAAGAAAGGGGGGGAGGGGCTCTTCCGCCACCCTGGACCTCAAATAACCCTCACCCTCGGGCGCTCCTCCCTCCACCCACCCCCACCGCCACAGTGAGCCGGGGCGAGCGCAGCCACATCCCATCTCAGACTGTGAAGAAACTGCTGGAGGCTCAGAGGCGGCGGAGGCAATCTGGCACCAACTACCAGCCTCAGGTAAAGGCGGCAGGGACTCCAAACTACATCTCCCAGCAAGCCCAGCGGCCGCCGCCTGACACTGGGGCCTGATTCTGCTCCGCGGTCTGCTGGGAGATGTAGTCCTTCATCCCTCTCAGGACTCCCGGGGTGGGTGGGGTGAGGAGGAGGGGGCCTCCAAATTGAAGCTGACCTTCACCTCTTCCCCCTCTAACCAGGGACAGGTCCCTGCGACTTCTGCAAATGAGACAGAACCAGGTGAGCCAGAAAACGAAGAATCGAACCCATTTTCTAGTCCCCCCCACCCCCAGCATCCCGGCTCCCAGCCCCGCGGCCCCGAGTCGCTCTCTGTGCCTGACCCCTCGTACCCTGCAGGTCTTGGCTCATTCCCAGGGGCCCCGGAAGTTCAGGTGGCTGGCCTTGGGGCCCCGTCTGCGCCCCCAGCCCAGGCTCCAGGGTGGGACCTGGAAGCCCACGTCTTGTACCCCGACTGCCACTACCATTGCGCAGCCTCTACCGAAGCCTTCTTCACCCCTGGCCTCTTCACAGCCACGGAGCCTGGAGGGCTGCCTTCCTTCCCTTCCCTCCTGGAGGTGAGGCCCCCAGAGCACGGGGATGGAGGGAGAAGGAGGGGGGAGGAAGCCTGAGAGGGTTTCCGAGGCCCAGATGCGGACCTGTCTCCTCCTCTCTTTT